GGTCATGTCCACAGGCAGGCAGTTCAGTCTCCAAGGGCATGGCCAGGATTTAGGAAGAAGAACTTCATGAGAGCCAGCAAAGTGCATCCTGGGAGTGGAGTTGAGAGCCACTGCAGTGTTACGGCAGCTCTGGTTGGGGACAGCATGCCCGACTGGTGTTATCCACGCTGGTTTGTCTTGGAGAGTCCCGGGAGCTGCAGCCCTGGGAGCTTCTGCATCCTGCTTTCCCAGGTGGACATCTCTTGCAGGTACTGCCCCCCTGCCACTCCCTCCAGGACCTGGAAGGAGAGGGAGCAGGTGTCCAAGCCAACTGAGGGGGCTTGTAGGGGCCGCCTGGGGACTTGAGTGCATATTTTCACACCACCCCTCACCCTGGGGCCAAGATGACAGAGAGGGGGCAGGTTTCACCCAAGGCAGTAGGGGTGGGGTCTCCCCATTGAATCTCCTCTTGCCCCATCCTAGATAGCAGAGACTGACTGCTGTGATAGAGGCAGACTCCACAGCCTGGAAATCCCAGAGGGAGAAAGCCAAGGCCTCCCACCCACGAAGCAGGCTAGAGGTACCTAGAAGCCAGCCAGGCCCCAGGGCCCCAAGTCAGAATCATGGGGCAGTGTGCTCTGCGGGAGCACCTGGGCACAAGGACTGAAACGACTGAGGAGTTGCCGAGCTGTGCTTCTCTCAAAAACATGCTGCCCCTCACCACACCTCATTATCCAGGCGACGAGGCTGAGGAAGATGTATTGTCTGACAACAATAGGTCGAGGTTGTGGTTGCCCTGAGCCTGCCACTGCACTACAGTCTGGGCAACAGAGTACAACTCCAACGCCCCCCGCCAAAAAAAAGAATTTAATCACAAGAATCCACAAATCTGTTGATTCTGACCTCTAAGAGTCTATATAGGTGGCCTACCATAGATGGCCCTTTTCCTGTCTGTCTTCTCTTCCTACCAACACCACCCCACATTCAGTCATCTCACTGCCCAGAGAGCAACCAAAAGTAGTGAGCCATCAGTTCTCCCAGGAAGCCCAAAGAAGCATCACTGTGAGTCTGTGAGGCTGACCGTGGGCCCAGGGCCTTGGCCACTAGGTAGACACGGGGGGGGGGAGGCAGACATTCCATGCAGGTGACACAGGCACAGGGCCAAGTAGTACAGTGTCTCTGGGGTGGGAATCTGGCTAGGACA